ACTACTACTACGACGACGACGATTACTACTCCCACCACTTTGCTACTACTGCTGCTGCTGCTGTTATTACTTGTTACTTCTACTACTGCTGTTGCTGCTACGAGTGCTACTACTGCCACTAGTGATACTAGAGCAAGTGCTACGGGTATTGCTACTGCTACAATACTGCTACGGCTACTGCTGCCACCATGCCAACTGCCACTACTGTGACAACAACTTGTGCCCGATTGCTAGTGCTACTACTGCTCGCGCTGCAGAAACATGTGGCAGTCAAGGCGTCGGCGGATGTAAAGAGAAGTTGTAAGTCGTCGTCGACGGCATCGCCATCGCAGAAGCCGGATCAGGGACAGTAGCAGAACCACCAAGCGAAAGTCGCTGTTGTTGTCATATTCACGTAGTTCGCAGGTACTGGTTGTCACCGTCGCAGCCGTAGTGGCATATCTTGTGGCATAGCAGCATGCCACAAGGGACAGGCATAACGATTGCAGTGCTTCTCGCTACTGGCTGTGTTAAGAGCTGCCTTTCACGGCACTGGCAGTTGTGGGAACGATGGTGATAGCACAGCTTGCGAACATGATAATGACAAGGATGATGATACGCGTCATGGCAATTACTGGTGGTAATGGTGATAATGATGTTCAGCACCATAGCCATGACTAATGACTAATGTAGCACCAGCAGGCGCAGGCTTTTGGTGATGACCTGCAGGGGCCTTGAAGCGCTTGAAGGATTATGCGTTATGGGGGTTTCCCAAAATAGGGGACCCTAATGTAGTACCCTAAATAGTAGGATCCTTATTATAAGGACCCCAAAACCCTATTTTCTGAAACTCCTGTATAGGGATGTATCACGGGAAGTTGAGCAGAGCAGAACTGCAGCAGCGCTTTGAATCGGTCGCTGTTTGGTTCCACCGATAACGGAGTTTCCAAAAATTAGGGTACCTTATTTTGGGGTCCTTATAATAAGGATCCGACTATTTATAATACTATTTCAGGGTCCCCTATTTTCGGAAACTCCCATAAGAATGCTGAACCCGAGCCTAGTGCTATACCAGTCAGCTGGCTTGTGTGCCCACGACCCTCTACTACCCATCATGGCAACGTCGACGCTGACCTGAGCTTTCCGTAATCAATAAGCCCAAACCCGAAGCCTAGCGGACACGGTATTTGAGATTCTGCTCGACGGTGGGGACTGCCAGGACAGCGGAGGTAACATCGAGAAGGAAGACCCTTTCAAGAAGCTCCTGGAAGCCAACAAGGACTCAACATCAATAGAAATGGATTCTTCAGCTGCTCAGAGACGGACCGGTTTACAGTATGTCGCTATCTGGGTATTTGTTGACATTCAGGGAGGGTTATCAGGGTCTAGGGCATTAGGCAACACATCAGGTGATGGCCCGCTGTTCTAGTTCCTCAGGATTGATCGAGTCTCTCACCTTTAGGCGGTAGCTGTATCTTTTAGTCACTGTCGTCCCTGTAGTTCTTCTTCCGGTGTCTGGTCTCGTGCTAGACGACCACGCGGCTGATTGACCTCTGAGTCCGCGAAAGAGATTGAAGGCATTAGGGTATTGGTGTTATGATCTTGTTTGATTTTTAAACATTCGAGTGCTTGGGTTTTCGGTTTACGGCATCGCTACCGGTAAGCGTTCTAAGGTTTATGCTAACACGATGTTTACATGATCAACGACTAGGAAGATGCAGACTAGCCTTCACTGAATATTGTATTGACATGACCTTCAACATCAACACTAAGACTATTGTGGTTCAAGTTGTTAATTGCAAGTCAAACATACCAGCACTATGTTAGGAATTAGTTTTTCGCTTTCTAGAACAAAACTCCACGGGATTATTGGTTATTCGGCAAATGGTATTTTAATTATGGTTCTAAGGGCCCTTCAATCAAACAGACAAACCCTCGACCCTCTAAAAACAACCCTAAACCCCCAATCCTCAACAAAAACCCTAAACCCTCAACCGTAAACCCAAAACCCAAAACCCTGAACCCTAAACCCTAAACCCTAAACCCTAAACCCTAAACCCTAAACCCAAACCCAAACCCCCAAACTTCCCCACACATCGCTCCTCGAGTGTCCAGGAGCGCCTTGGGGTCAAAAACCTGGCGAACTCCCTGCCTGGGATGCCTGGCATGTCCTCCGGCCGGCAGATGTGCGGGGAGGGTTTGGGATTTAGGGTTCAGGGTTTGGGTTCAGGGTTTAGGATTTGGGGTTTAGGGTTCAGGGTTCCGGTTTAGGGCATGGCTCCCGGCTGATTGGAGAGAGCTCCGGGTTCAACAAGGGTTGTGGGTTTAGGGCTTGGGGTTTAGGGCAGGGTTTAGGGTTTGGGGTTTAGGGTTGGGTGCCTCGGCTGAAGAACGGCAGAAGAGGCAATGCTGGCAGTCGTGAAGTCCGGTTTCGAAAGGGTTTGGTGTCTTGGGATTTTGTGGGTAGTTGGTTTCATTTTTAGGCTCGGGGTTCTGAAGTAAGACTTAAGTATAAAATACTGTTCAACTACTGCCATTAGACTAGTACTCTTTAAATAGTATAGAAGCCTGTATCACCTCAGGCTCCCCTCTTTGCTGCACAGGGCGCTGTGTTGTGTGTGCCATTTTCAGCATAACGAAGACTAGGAGCTGCGTTCTTTGCCATCGCAGTGTTTTCTGAGTACAAAGGATTATCGTTTGTAGTGCAGCATCACATGAGCCGCATTCTTTCGTGACTGTCACGACGACGATGAAGCATGTTGTGATTTAATATAGGGAGGCCTAGATAATTACCAATACCATTTTGGGGGCTCCTTATTATAATTGTAGTATATTGGGCCCCAAAGCCCTATTCTGATTATTAAGGCTCCTACATTGGACTCGGTCTGCCATCCTACAGACTTTCCTCAACGCGAGGGCGCCTTGTGTTTAGTTGGGAGTTTTCCCTGGAACTCGAACCCTGCAAGCTTTAATCTACGCCCCAAACCCTGAAAATTAAGGGCCATACCCGAAAGAGAAGCAACAGCTTGAGGGACCGACAGGAAGTGGGCGAATAGGGGGCTCTAATCCGGAACACACTCGTAACTTGTAGGATCTGCAGTATCAGTACCCTCAAACAACAGGCTACCACGAGTTTTAGAGCCGCCTGCCCGAGGCACGAACGCCCTTCCCAAAGCCGTCATCTCTCATCACTTGGGGTTGGATCGTTGCATACGTTTCTTTTCTACCAGCCGCCTTGTTTTGAGCTTGCGTGTTCTTGTAGCTAGGTACCTGGGAAGCTTGGGTAGCATGGTATCACTGCAGGTGGTCGGGCGCAGGTATGCATTTCCCGGAAATACTGGTGACGCATTGCCGAACACAGGGTCCTTTCTCTTGGTCCCTTGGTCTCTGAAGCAGCAGGCCCCCAGGCCGGATCAGTTGAATCCACCACCACGACGACTACTACTCCTACTGCTGCTGCTACTGCTACTGCTACTGCTACTGCTACTGCTAATGCTGCTGCTGCTGCTGCTGCAGCTGCTGCTGCAGCTGCTGCTGCTGCAGCTGCTGCTGCTGCTACTAATGCTATTGCTACTGCTGCTGCTACTGCAAGTGCTACTGCTGCTGCTGCTGCTGCTACTGCTGCTGCTCCTGCTGCCGCAAGTGCTACTGCTGGTGCGACTGCTGCTGCTGCTGCTGCTACTACTACGACTGTTAGCGCTGCTGCTGCTTGTTTAAATATTTATTAGACTCAGGTATTCCGGCCTGAACACCCCTCCCGTGGCGGGCATGGGCGGCATGGGCGGCATGGGCATGATGGACATGGCTGGCATGGAGGCAGGGGCTGCGGCAAGCGTACGACTGACCCACAGGTCTGCAGCATAACTCAACTATGAATATTTGGAGCCAAGAATGTCGGAAGAGAGGATATTCGACGGGCACCGGGGCGGCGGGACTAGAGGCCCTATTTTATTCTAGGAAGACGATGACGTCGTTGCAACCGCCCTTGTTGTTGGCTAGCATGTTGACAGACTGGGAGACAGATGCGTGCATGCACACTCTGTTCGCACAAGGACTGGGGGTTCTTGTCTGCTCAAAATACAGTGCTCAGAACCGGAATATTTCAACCGTCATCAGCAATGATGCTTCTGACCCTGCGGTCCACGTGGAAGAAAGGCTCCCAACGAAGTCTGGCCGCTGAGACCATGCCACCTCATCCGTGGTTATATGGTTGTTCTACAGCAGAGCCTACGGCTTCCATGCAAAGTCTCGGAGCCTAAAGGCTTATATACTTGACCACCGATCGACCCTACTCGTCACGAAAAAGCAATGTTCGTGATTAGTACTGGGTTTCTAGTGGTTGCAACTCTTTTGAAAATCCGTATGTCCAGTCATTTTTGCTCGATGCTAGACACCTGGATCGGAGTAACTAGTAAGCCCTGCACGAAGTTGGAACACCTTCAAGAGACACTGGGAAAGAAGGCCAAACCACGGAGTGTCGACCGCGCGCGAAAGAAGCAAGCGACAACAGCAAGCGACTACAAGAACGGTGCTAATAACTAGTAGTACCACAAGGTTGGGAATAGCAGTCGTCGTGGTAACACTAGGTCAGAGGTACTCACGCCGTGGCAGTCGCAATCTCTGCAGCTAGAACAATCATGGTACTTTGTTGCAATCAAGATTGCCATTTCGGTGTCATGAAATATGATATATATATATATATCCGCGAAGTGATTGTTTCTAATGATTCTGCTCATGCCGGGGCATGCGAGGGCAACGCCACACGTTTCCATGGGCTTCCTATCACCACTGGAGCAGGAGCAGATGATGTCCGTGATGAACAAGGTGATGGTGCCATTCCAGGACATGGAGCTGACCTCAGAAGTGTGGGACTGGCTCGTGCAGTAGAGGGTACAAGGTTTTCTCATGGCAAGACTCTGAAAGTGTGAGTTGAAGAGGACATGTCATTCCTGTCTTCTGGTCGAAACCCTTTTCTTCTTCATCTTCGCTCTGGTTGTAGACGTAATAGGAACTTCATGATGGGCCATCATGCCGGCATCACATTCAATCTGGCAAAACATCACAAACTCGAGCCCGTTTGGATGCCAGCCGCTGCAAACTGAGTTACCACGAATAACATGTTCGTGCACGGGCAACAGGCAATTGCGAAGCCATGATCAGGAGTTTATTGTTATAAGCAGAATGCATCATGAATGCCCTCAGGCCTCTGCCCCAGACTCGAAACCCTAAGGCAATGTCCGGGAGTGAGCTCCGAAAGGTCGTTTAACTCGTGTTAAGAACCCTGGTAGTGTAAAGCTCAGCTTTTCTTTTCGGGTATGCCTTCTGATCCGGTCTGAAATTGCTTCAGCAGGTAACTTTTCTTTTGTTGTTGCGTTTCCCTTGTGGTCTGTCTTCTAGAGCCACCATGAGCTACCTATCCACAGCTAATTCTGGGTAGCTTCATTGTTTTGGAAATTCGCCTTGAGAACTACTGGGCTCCAGGTGACGTGGAACTTGCAATCACGCACTTCGCACACCTTCGCTGCCCCTCGCACCCTTATCAACTCTGAACTAAACTCTGTCTCTCTGTCTCCATCTCTCACGGGCTTTAAGCCCTAAGCTCGAGAAAGCATGTCCCAAAAGCTAGACCCCCAAAGTGCGTTTCAGAAATAACCTCCAGATGTCAAAAAGCAGGTCTCAAGTGTCCGCCTGAGGTCATGGGTCGGATGCAGGCCATGGAGGAGACGCATGGCGCCAGATGCCGGGAATCCCCCAGTAACATGGGGTCCTTAGTAATTAAAGAGGGTTTTGGGATATGTTCTATTATCGTCATAACACTGAGACTGTAATGATAGAAAGGAACCCCGAAAAGAGTATTGGTAATTGTTTAGGCCCCCGGCAGTATATGGACGCCTGAAACATGCATCCACACTCTCTGCTAGGACCGCTAGGGAATCTAATGCCTGTGCACTTCAACAACATGTATCAAGAGCCTAAATTCGGGTCACTTAAACAACATGCATTCAGGGCCTACATTCGGGTCAAATCTAGCGGCGGGTTTTAATGTAGGAGAGCCTAAAAAATCACCAATGCTATTCGTTAGGGCTCCTTCTTATAATATACGTAAACCCTAATAGAACTACTAAGGGTCCCTACTTTAGGGCTCCCTGTTACAATATACCTCAACCTTATTCTAACTACTAAGGGCCCCTATGTAGGGATCTTTGTCCCTTGTTTTTGAACGTCCCGACACTGGAAACTCGACTCGACCATCAAGCTCCTAAGCCCTGCCGGTAGCCCACATGACCGAATATAGGGGTCGGAGCATTAGTCACAAGAATGTCCCCCTATCCCTGTAGTTATATGGGTCATGTAATGAGTCATATACATAACATTGATATCCCCCTATAGTCCTCATATAGTTATATTGATCACATGCGCCCAAACCCTATTGCAACTGTTGAGGCTCCTATAATTGTTTCAGAAGGGGGCTGGTGGCTTGGCCTGCGTGTGGGAGTTGCACCCCATCCGCCTTGCTGTGCATGCGATGCTTTTGAACATGTCCAAGGAGTCTTAGAACTGAGGGAACCCGAGGATAGACCTCCAAATAAAAACTTCCGATTCAAAATCAACATCAACTCCCGACATCACAAGGACCCTTCGCTGGGCCCAAAGGACCCTAATGGAAATGAACTCACCGGTGTATCTCAGCTCAGGAACATTCAACGGCAGATGGAGATGACGCAGGCCCGGGTCTCACACACACAAAGGGACAACCTTGGCATTCATCAGTTCCGAGTTGATGGTCGAGGGTCTAAGTTTCTCCGTTCAGGGTTCAAGAGCCTCGGTTTTGGGCTTTAGGGCTTTGGAGTTGAAGGTTTGGGGTTGACTTGGAGGTTCATGGGTAGTTATTATAAGTAGGGTTATAAGTCCCCTAATATGGATTATACTTATAGTTAGCTTACTTATAACTCCACTTATAACTACCCATGAACCTCCCAGTAGGGTTTAGGGAGAGAGAGGGCTTTGGAGTTAGTTGAGGCTTTCGGGGAACATGTTGCCAGGCTGGGCTGAGTCAGGTACCATAGCTTGCTGGCACTCCTCGGCGGTCCATACTCACATTGTGACATGCTTCCTCTGCAAGCCTAGACGCTCCGTCTGAAACGCCAGCGCCGAAAGCTGGTTACAGGGCGTCGAGTTTTGGACTCAGGACTTGAGATTAGGGGTTTTGACCCTTATCATTGCTGGGATACTCTACGCCAGGATGAGCGCCGAAACCCCGAAAGCCCCAAATCCCCATAGAGGCTCAAGTCTGCAGGGTTAGTACCCTGAGTTTCTGAACCCGCCCAAATCACTACACATCCCCATGCTGTTAACGTTTTTTCCGCAGCTTTCGTGAACCCAGGAAGCCATCTCCCAGCGTATGGACTTCTCACAGGCAGAGCTGAGTTTTGAGAAGGTTATTCTACTTAGGGTTTTGGGTTTAGGGTTTAGGGGTTTAGGGTTTAGTGTTTAGGGTTTTATAGTCTGTTTGCTTGAAGTCTGTGGTATCGTTTAGGGTCTGTTAGGTTTTCAAGTTCTCAAAGGCTCTTTGAGGGCTGAGTTGAGGTTTCGTCGAAGCCTTGCAGGCTTAGCGACGTGCGTTTAGTAGCTGCTAGCTTTTTGACCCCGTTCTTAGCTACCCTGAGCCTTCAAGGTCTTGTGCCTTGTAGACGACATGGTGCACCCAGGAAGCCAGACATGAAGGAAGCCTGAAGTAGTGAGAGTGCAGTGGTCATCAAGTAGGGGATAGTACGGTTCGCTACAATCGTCATACCGGCTCAATTTGCGCGAGCCCTAGGTCCTAACCCGAAACGCCAACTCTTAAGTCGACAGCCCCTAGACACCAAACCTGACATTCCTGTGGGTAGTTCCCATCTTCACAGCTTCATTTTCACCATGGATCCCAGTGCCACGGGTCGAGGATAAGTGCAGAAATCCAATCTGAAGCAGTTCTCGGAAGGGAGACTGTGGGTTGCCGGTTTAGGGTTTAGGGGTTAGGGTTTAGGGTTTAGGGTTTAGGGTTTAGGTATATTATCAATGACTAAACGTCTGGCAGTGGACAAGGCTCCAGGTTTGGTGTGTGAGCGCGCATACGTGCATGCAGCCCACTTATTGCCCTACCAGGACCATAAATCAGGGAGGTGGGGCTTACAGTGGCATGTAAGGCGGTCAGGCTTGTTCAGCGTTTAGGAGTTGATTGGAGTTGAATTGTGATGACTTGCAGCCGGGCTTGGGGCACTTCACGGGAGCCTGCAATCTGCATCCGCCCCCCGCGGACACCTGAGTGCCGACACTTGTCATGTCGACTCGTGCTAAGGTCTCGCTTCTGCAGACCGTCAACGCCTGCCAAGTGCTGCTTCACAAGCTGGACTCGTCGCAGGCGGGTGGGCGCGACAAAAAAGATCATGGCAGAGTAAATGTGGGCGGTTTCGTTCCACTGTCACAGGCTTGCAGTCAGGTAGAATGTTCTGCGGGAGGTGGGCAGGGTGGGGGGTAGGGGCGTGGAAAGAGGCCCAACAGCGTGAGAGTAGAATCCCGAGTCCTCGAAATCTGCAAATATCAGAGAGGTTTTTGCCGGAGTCGTTATCACGGTTGTTACTCGTATTACTACTATTACGAACTAGTACTATTCTTAATAGGTGTAGTACCCCTCCAGCAGCCCGGCAACAGACAGATATCCTGATGGACCACCTAAAATGGAGCCAGAAATATGAACAAGATGAAGTTTCTGGGTTCGACAGCCGGCAAACAACCCCAAATCCTGATAGATCCCGCCAGAAAAAGCCAACACCGAGCCGAAAACACGGTCACGAACACCGCAACGACTGTGATTCTCGCGTACTGGGACTCTTCATTTCCTTTGATGCAGTTTATTTAGCGCAGGAGACGGTGATGCAGAAGATGGACACGCAAAAGGGCATTGTGGACCGCATGGTCGAGTCCTACTCAGGCGAGCCGTCAGCCACGTGCGGGGTCTGGCAAACACAACGCAGTAAGGATTGAACTATCCCGACAAGGTCTTGTGTGATTCCTAAAGGCTGGTTGACCGGACGACTCGTTGCAGGCTGAAGACCAGCAGAAACTACAGGAGTTAACAGTTAAACTTCCTAACCCAAAACCCTGTACCTTGACTAGGGTGTACTATTTCAGGTGGCTCAGGATTTGAAGCCGCGCTACCCCATCGCCGGACACTTGTGACCCCATCACGGGAACCACCGCTTTTTCAGGAGCTAAAGGCTTCCCCAGCCGAAAGTAAAGTCTTTTGGGAATGGCAATGAAGAAACATGGAGCCAAGAAGGCGCTTAATTGCTGGTGTTCATGTTGTAGCTCAACTTGCCAGAACAAGGGATAGTTTCTCCTTGTGATGGCAGCTTGAATTATGTTTCCCGGCGGCTATGGATGAAGCTCCAGACATCCTTCTGAACGCTTCTGGAGTGCTCGTAAAACCTGCTGATTAAACCTTCGTGCAGGAGCCAACCCTGATAAACCCTCATGAACCTGGGGAACCCTTGAAAGAGCCCTGGGTAAGGAACCCTTTAAGGAGCCCATGCAGGAACCCTTTAAGGAGCCCCTAAAGGAGCAGCCCCCAAAGGCTACCCGGTAGCCTTTAGGGTTTGACAGGCCTCGTTCAGAACATCGACAGCGCCAGCGACAACACAAAGAGATCCCTCCTGGACACGGCAGCTTTTCTTGGAATTTCTTTTGGATTTAGGGGGTTTTGGGGTTTAGGTGTTAGGGCGTTAGGGCGTTAGGGTTTCGGGGAGTTGTCTTGAGGGGCTCTGGGCCGGCTCATAGGGGACTTCGGGGGGTTCTTTTCAGGGTCCAAAGCTTGGAACCAGGGCTCAGGCTCAGGGCAGGTCTCAGTCTAATTGGGGTTTGAGCCCTTTTTGAACCCAATGTAGGGGCCTTAAATAATTAGAATAGGATATAATTAGAATAGGATAGAATAGGGTTTCGGGGTATACTATTCTAGAAGTAAGTATAATAAGGAACCCACCAAAACCCGATTCTAATCATCAAGGCCCTACATTACTTGGGACTTACTCGGCTCCCCGATCCGCTGAGTATGCGCGCCCGGTATTCATACTGGCTGTCCTTTTGGGGTTAGGGCTGTGATCTTGCGATTTGTACGACGAGGTGGTTGATAACGGAGAAGACGGACACAGAGCATTCGGTTGAGTTTTTTAAAGGGATGGGTAGGGTTGCAGATCATGATCGCGTTACGCACTTTTGCCCTCAATCGTGACTGTTCTGTGGGTTTCGCCGTGTCTAGGACGCAAGCACTAAAGAAAGCAACTTTTCAATTCAAGGGATATGCTGTTGCTGTCGCCTTGAGGTCAACACATCATCCGCCGTTATGCTTCAGAAGCTCGACACCACGCAGCAGGCGCGGCATACCATTTCACGGACCACAAGCAGAGCAATTGCGGTGGTTGCATATTTTCAGCGTGTGCCGTGTTCCCTGTCCGGTGCCAGAGAACCATACGTGTCGATGTTTTACATGCAGTGTGATTTGCTCGGGTAACAACAAACCAAATTTCATAGACTGAGAATCATCACCCTGGAAAGCAAAGACACCTCACGCCGGAAATCCTGGATGCTGCGGACACCAGGTTGTGTGTTCCGGAATCAGAGCGGTGCAACAGTAGCAGCCGCGGCAGCTACTCTTTCAATGAAGCTGCATCGCCGATCCTTTTCTAAGATCTTTGTGCATGGTTTGTTCATTGCTGTCGCCATTTTTGTGCCCCAACTCCTTTGATCCTAGCGCGTCCAACTCTTGGAAAGCTCCAAACCTCCGAAATCTTCGAGCTATCAACCAAGTCCCTCGGTCCACACATCATTCCCGAATCCGGCATTCCTGCACTTACGACGTATTATCCAGAGAGCTGCGTAAAGCCGTGAAGGACAGCGGGCGAAGCCTCGGACAGTGTTTATAAGGTGTCTGACTGGTTTCGAAGTCCTCTGCTACACCCGTGCTTCCCCCCGAAGTGTACGCAAGGATGGCTAAACCCACGGCCTGATCTGCCAGGATCTCCTCAAGCAGACTCATGAGTCTCATGCCGTACTCCAGGGAGTGGCGCAGTCGCAGTCCTTCGAACTGCAAGTATTTTCAGTAGAGCCTTCGGTTTGAGGACTTCAGCATGAGCAGGCATATGGAATCCGGACAAGTGCAGGGCCTCATGTCGTTTCGCAAACCTTCCTGTCCCGATATACACCTGTTCTCTTGCTGTGTTCGGATGCTGTTTTTGCGGGGCTGCGGGGCTCGAACGACTTTGTCTCGACCAGAACGCAGGTAAAATGAGTGCGGTAGCTCAGTATTCAACTGTGCAGCAAGGACTTGCACTCCCTGCATGCTGCTGCACGGTCGAAACACCCCGTAGCCGAACCCAAACCTCCCCGAGTTCCAAAATCCTAAACTTACGACGTTTGCCAGGGTTAGGATGCAGGCCCAAAAGCCTCAAATTTTGTAGAATGCCCTTCCCTGTCCTCCACACCTGGTCTGCCGCCTACTGAAGGACCCTCATAAAATCCTCAGAGATTCGTTAGCAGCAGACCGTAATTTTCAAGGACCCCTAAGAACAATGGAGGGACTTATTTCAGAAAGTGAACACTCGCTTCCCCGTTTTGAAGCACCCCGCCTAATCGTAAAATCACATTGCTGTGAAGCCTCGCCAAGGACCAGCCTGGCAAAGAAGGTGGATTCTGGCAACGAGCTCCTTGGAGTTGCCTTCGGTATAATACTATCCGTATAGAACTGAAAGTTGAATTTTTAATTTGGGGTTATGAACTCGACACCTCAGTAAATAAGTAATACATAGGCCTTAACCCCCCCCACCTGCCCTGCGTTTGAGGTTCACGACGCGCCGTCTGGTGGAGGTGGAGACCTGCCTGAGCAAGAAGGTGGGTGCCAGTGCCATGGAAGATCGCAGCGTAGGGTCTGGTGTTCGAAGATTCTCAAGTTTCGGGCATTGTTCGTTTGTAGGTTGCGGGTCTAGGATTGGGAGGGTGCAGCCGTGACATGAAGCCCAACCCAAACATCCTTAGGCCTGTATAGAGTCGAATGCCGGATTTCCGGGAGGATAGGAGATAGGTAGCTCCGTGGCTGAGTGATGAACGATGCTGCCTCACAGATGCTGTGCCGCAGCAGTGGCAGAAGTCAGGTTTACCGGAGTGTGCTGATTGCCGTGCAAACTCGGCACTAGCTCTTCTACTGAAGTTCGACTATATGATAGAATTCTGGGACAAGCCGGGTGTAACCATTTTTTTGCAGGTCACAGAGACTGGCGACTCGATGTCTCGCTCGCAGACTGTATGCGGCCTGCACGCGATAGCTGATTCGTGGTTGTGGTCTAGGGTTCCATTTGCCACCGTTTTGCGAAGGCGTTTTTAGACCTTTCAACTTGATCAGGATTCGGTGTTTTGGGTTTAGGCCTAGGGCCTAAGATGCATTGTCCAGACCCGTAAAACTAACAACAGGGAACTTGCACGAAAGTATGCGCATGTCAGCGACTTGCGTGAAACAGGTTGGGTCAGAGGGATTTGTCTCAAAGACTTCCGGCAGTTGTCCTCGGACGCAATCTCGTGAGGGCTCCTTGCAGTGGCGGCAGTAGCGGTAGTAGTAGTCGTCTTTGGCGTCGTTTTGGTGAGTAGTAGTCGTCGTAGTAGTCGAATATTTTTTTGGCAGTAGCAGTAGTACCAGTCACCCATAACAGAGTCGCCACACTCAAGTCAACCCCGAAACCCTTATCTCTGAATCCCTATGGCCCTACGACCTACAGTACTAGAATTGGGGTTTTGTGCACCAGAATCAAGTTATCACAGCCTCCCTAAAACCCCGATGCCAGCCGTCAAAAACACCGCACAGCCTTATAAACCCCCCCAAACACCCCAGAACCCTCGAAGCATACCTATAATGATCTGATGGTACAGCTCTGCACTCAAGCAAACCGTAGACGACCGTACAAGTACGAATAGTCACCGATTGATGAAGAAGCCATACACTGAAGAAACCCTTAGACAAACCTATCAGCGCCTCTACAATGTTACGATGAACTAATGACCTAAACTCAAGAAAACCCTCGACAGACCTACAAGCATCCGTACAATGACCAAACGACAAAAGCCCTAAATCCTAAACCATACTCAGTAAGCGTCCATGTGCGAGAGTATAATGGGTCTAGGGTTTGAGGTTAAGGTATGGACCCTAACCCGAAACCCTAATAACCCTAAACCCTAAACCCTTAGAACCCGAAACCTTAGCAAGGAAGGAAAATAACCCTAAACCCTAGACCCTAAACCCTAATAGGTAAACCCGAAGCTCAGGCTCTGAGAAGATCCTCGAGTCCCTCCGCGGGGACTTGTCCACCCTCGCGCAGCAGGGCAATGCCACTCAAACGGCGAAGAAAGGAAGTAATATAGGGGCCTAAATAGTTACCAATAATACTGTTTTGTGGTTCCTCGTTAATTATTATATTCCTAGTATAATGTACCCCACAACTTTGGTCTAATTATTAAGGCTCCTACAGTATTAATGTTATTTGGTTTCGTGTAGGGTTTGAGGCATGGGTGGTAGTTCAAGGGGTTTTAGCTTCTTGTGGCTTTCCGAGCGGTTTTGAGGATTGTATTTTAAACTGCTTTTTTTCTCTCCCGGCTGGGCTATTGTTTTGGCTCATTGAAGAGTAAAGGGGGCCTCGAGCTCTCGAGGTATTTCTCTCCAGACAGTAATCTGAGTAGCTGAGTCAGTATACTTCAGAATTTTGAGGTGTTGCAATGCTTGAGATAATATCACCCCTATAGAACTGAAAGCTTAAGCTTTTTGGGTTATGAACTCGGCAACTACGTAATTGACAAGATGTATACAGTAGTCGCAAAACCCGCCTTGTTGACCTCGTAGAAGGCATGTATTTACGGTAGGTTGTCGTTGATCCTAGACTCCTTAAACCCTTTGTTCGCACAGTCTTACACTGCCGACCCGTCTACAAAAGCAACGAGACCAGCCAATCATCGGACGGAGGCCATGGCCTATCCGATGAAGTACAGGAAGTACGGTTTCGGGGCAGGGGCTCTGCTTGAGTGGGCAGCGTTGAAGCCTTCGGCGGGTACCACGTGCACATCTACCCTTACCCTCAAAGGACTCATATTTTAAGGCTTTTGGGCCCAAAGACCCTATTATATAAGGCTTTTGGGCTGTTTTGATGCTAAGGCCTGCCCATCAGCAGGCAGCCTTGCAGGGTGCAGTCGGTACCCAGGTACGAAGCGTACGGTCACGGCTTACAAGTAGCAGTAGCAGTAGCAGTAGGAGAGGGTAGTAGCGGCAGCAGCAGCAGCAGGAGGAGGAGGAGGAGGAGAAGGAGTTGGAGTTGTATCGCAGTCGTTGAGTGTCCACGCCCCGAGCCAGGAATCCCAAAGCTTCCAAGTCAGAATGTCGCCCGTCCGAAGCCTCCCAGGCCATGGTTGACGCCACCGAGAAGTCTGCGAGTGCACAGGACACTTCATAGCGTTTTTCTTTTACGGGGGGCCTGGGGCTGTTCTTTATTTTTGCAGGCTTTGTACTTCATAAGGGTCTATTTTCTAGGGGTAAGGTTTTTTGTAGAGCTGCCCTCAGAAGTCCAAAGTGTGGTTCTTAAGATCCCTACATGTCCTCTGAGTGTGCATATCCGGGCGTGATCCCAACAAGCCTGTCGCAGGGTTCCCGTATAATAAGGATCCTGCTATTCAGAGCTCCCGTTACATGGCAGACAGTTTGAGGGGGAGATTTGCTCGACCACGGCACGTCCACAGCACATGGTTGAGAAGCCTCAATCACAAGCAAGACTATACCTACCTTCAAGCCATAAACCTTGGCGTTGCTATGAGTGTCATGAGCAGTCAAGCCCAGCTAAAACCACAAACCCCCAAGCAGTTCTTCGAATTTAGAGGTGTGTATGTCGGTTGCGGCCGGGCTGGCTCACAGTGGGCCGAAGTGCAAGGTCACGTCGTTCTGCAATCCTTGTTAAGGGAGAGCCTTTTATCGTCAAACCTCAGGGCTAAGGGGCTCTGGAGTTCAGGCTTCATGTGCACGGAAGCCCTCCTGTTGAGGAAGAGCGCATGTCAGATGTCCGCCGCCAGAAGCACGGCCGAATGTTTTTGCAGGGCTGCCGGGAGTTCTCGTGGGACGTTCAGTTTTGGCTGAGGGTTCTGCATTAATGCAGGGGCCTAAGTACTTACCAATAATTACTATTTTGGGGGCTCCTTATTACAATAAGTATATGAGGGTTGTTCTAAAGGTCC